AATGTTAAGAAAACAAAAATCCTCACTACTGGACCAATAAATAACATTTTTATCAATGGAGAAAAGATTGAAGTTTTCAAGCACTTCATTCTTCTTGGATCAACTATCAATACTCACGGAAGCAGCAGTCAAGAAATCAAATGACCTACTGCATTAGGCAAATCTGCTGCATATGACCTCTTTAAAATGTTGAAGAGCAAAGATGTCAGCCTTAGGACTAATGTGTACCTGACCCAAGCCATGGTATTTTCAATAACCTTTTATGCATGCAAAAGCTGGACAGTGAATAAGGAAGATCATAGAAGAATCGATGCTTTTGAGTTATGGTATTGGAGGAGAATATTGAAAGTGCCATTGGCTGCCAAAAGAACCAATAGATCCATTTTGGAAAAAGTGCAGCCAGAGTGCTTCTTGGAGAGCAAGATGGCCAATCTTCATCTCTCATACTTTGGACATACTGTCAGGAGGGAGCAGTCACTGGAGAAGGATATCATGTTTGGTAAGGTGGGGAGTCAGAGAAAAAGAAGAAGACTCCTATGAGATGGATTGGCCAAGTGGCAGCATTGATGGACTCAAGCGTGGCAAAATTAGTGAGGTTTAGCCAGGTTCGGGAAGTGTTTCATTCTGCTGTGCATAAGGTCCCTATGCATCAGTAATGACTGGATGACACCTATAAACAACAACAAAAACAGCATCATATTTCCAGAGTCCTGGTGTAGCATTTTAGTATAAGCCAAGAACTACTTATCATATGGTGGATGGTTCAAACTCATTAGTTCTACCTCAAAAAACCTATTCAGGGTCACTATGAGTAAAATCCAACTAAACGGCACATAAGAATAAACAACATCTTATTTCTGTTTGCTGTGTCTCTATTGGTGCTCTAGGATGATTATTCACCAAGTCATTATAAACAAATTAAGTTTTATTTTATTTATAATAAATCTAAGGTAGTGAAATGTCATGTCTTTGGAAAAGAGCCTTTCACTTGAAACAGTGTGATTAAAACTATGACTGAGTTACCACGTGCCTTTGTCTTTTGGCAACCTCCCTCTTCTGCTCCAGAGTATGCACATGTCCTTTATTGTTGTTGTTAAGTGCTGTGGAGTAGGTTATGAGATTTCTACCATAGTAACCCTGTATAAGGTTTATGAGCAGCAGCCGATGAGCTTGAACTGCTGACCTTGCTGTTCAAATGGCTTTTCAGTCTGGCACATTAACCCACAGAGCCACACCAAGATTCCCATATGCCCTTTAGATATATTGGAATATTTTCTAAAGAAGGAATCTGGGGTTCTCTGAAACCTGCACAGACTGAGTTTAACTTACCCTGTATTTTACACTGAGTAAATCACTGTCATACTTTCATGATGAAAACTTTAATTTGGTGAATCGGATTCACTTGATAGAAGATAAGGCCATGCCAGTTCATGAAAAGACATGCTCCATTTAAAAATCATGAAAATAGTGTCCTGATTTTTGTTAATGTTAACTGCAATGAGATATTATTGATGTAACAGTGCAATGGAAGAAAACAGAGATTCAAACCGAATTCAGACAGGGATGTGTAATGAGCGATATCATTGCTGATGTCAGATATATATTGGTAAAAAGCAGATTACACCAGAAAGATGTTTACCTGTGTTTTATTGATTATGTAAGACTTTGGATTTTATTGGTCAAAACAAGCTATGGATAACACTGTGGAAAATGTGTATTCCAGAACACTAAATTGTGTTTAAGAGAAACTTCATAGACCGAGAGGCAGTTGTTCAAATAGAACAAGGAGTCACAGACTAGTGTAAAATTAGGAAACGTTTGTGGCAGGGTTATATTCTTTAACCATACATATTCAATCTATATTCTTAACAAATAATCCAAGAAGCTGAACTATATGAAG